TCCAAAGCACTAGGGAAGGGGGTGGGGAAGGGGGGGAGGGGAGAGAGGGAGGAAGGAAAGAGAGAAAAAAGATGAGACAGAGAGAAACACTGATTTTAAGGAATGTGGAGGAGTGGTTAAATTTGTACTTGGCTCCAAAGCACTTTTTCAAGAGCCAAGAGCCAAAGTTGTGAAGAGGCACATTGAGGTGTGAGGATCTTCCAGAGGACAACGGGCCCTTGACAGGGGCTGGGCTCCCCCCATGGTGGATAACCACTTGTCAGAGATGGCACAGTGGGGATCCCTCTCCTATGTTATAATAAATGACTGGGAAGTCCTTTCCAACTCCCAAATGATCAGGTTCAGTGAAGGTTTCTGGCCCTCTGTTCTGCTGTAGGCTCAAGATACAGCATTCAGCAATCCTGTTGAGTCATAGCTTGGTGACCTTTGCTGAGGGCATAAAGAGGAGTCTTCTCTGGATGATGGTTTCCATTTGGAAGCCTTGATAAACAAAACATTTTAACCAGCTGGCAACTAATTTGTAATATACCGAAAGGGCATGTTAGCCCCAAAGGAGAGTAACAGCAGAGAGCTCTCAGAGTTAGTCATCTGGAGCAAGCTCCCTGCTAGGCTTTCCCCTGGTAGATAGTTACCTTGGTTTGATCAGATGACCTCCATCCTTTAGGAAGCCAGATCCCATGGAAAAGGAATCATGGTTTCAAGTTCTGACTTTGATGCTTATCAGCTCTTTAGCCGTGTTTCTAGCATGCCTGCAGCCCTGGCTACTGAAGATTAAAAATTTAAAAGGTCAAGTGAACCAGAACTTGAGGAAAACTCAGCCTTTTCCATTTATCAATAAATCTACATAATCTGACTTAATCTCTCTGAGCCTCAGTTTCTTTATCTGCAAAATGGAAATAGTAATACACTATCTATTTCACAGGGAAGTTGCACAGAGGACTCTTTGTCAAACTGAAATTGCTTTGGAGCCATGACCTGCCTAGTTAGACATGGTTCTTTTTGCTTTGAATCTCATCAGTCCCTCCAGGGCAGTGAGGAACCTGCTGTGTTCGCAGCACTGAGCTCGTTACTGTTTTTAATTGATAGCTGGAAAGGGGCTACAAACAGCCACTTCCATGCAGAGAAGCTGACCTGTTACTTGGAGTCTGTCTTTCTAGTTTACTGTAAAGTGAACTTACTTTGAAAAGGAATTTTCTCCTCCTCATCCCCCCCCAAGAGTGTGTCTGTTCATGTGCTGAGGACTCACGAAGCCACGCTCGGTCTGACTCTTCAGGGCAGACTCTTTGACAGCTTGGGCCATAGGGAGAGTAGACAATGAGGACAGTTCTGTCGCACTTTCATGCTTGCAGAGCGTTCTTTACATAGCACAGTGACTTAGCAAATTTTACACCTGAGGCAAGTGAGGCTCAAAGACAGTGTCCACAGGGAGGGTGGAGCCCAGGTCTTCTTGACTCCAAGAGTAAAACTCTCTGCTGGAGCCTGCTTCTTCTCTAGATGGCATTTAAAGGGGAACTAGATGTTCTTCTCACAGTTGATTGGGACGTCTGTTCTCTAAAAGCCGCAGGACACCGTTCCCCTTGTCCAGGACATCTATTTCTTTTTTGTCCTTGGTTCTAAAATAAGAATATCTGGTATGTAATGGAGTTATCCTAAGTGTTTTTAATTGCTTTTCATCAATCAGCAACATATTTCTCTACAGCCTATGACTTAAAGTACTGGAATTTTCAAGTTAAAATTTTGAAAACTTCACTAGGATTAGGGCCCTTATGGAGCCTCTTAAGCCCTAGCATCACACATGGTTTACAGAGAAAAACTGGTGGAAGATAATTTAAGCCCCTTCATAAATAACTTTTCACATTTGATCTTTTTTCTCTATGTGAAGATTGAGGGAATGGCTGAATGCAGAGTAAAATGTGGGAGCAAACGAAGACAGTTCAGGAACAGAACAGCAGGAAAGTGGGGGGGGGGAGCTGTTCTTGTACCTTTAAAGATAGGATTAGAAAACAGTCAGTGCAGTGTCGCATTATTGCAAATGCACCCAGACTGTTTAATCTTAACCAGAAAAAACCCTGTTCTAATTATTAGAAGTAGCTGACTCTTCCATATTTTCTGTAATATCACATTAAGGAAATCAGTGTTCTGTAGTTGATCACCATGTAAGTAAATGTGACGGTTCAGATCTCATTCATTTGTACTGAACATACCATGAGTTGGGTTGGTTTCTGTTTTGTTAACTGAACCACTTGGTTTTCTCCCTCCTGCCCACAAATTGGTGCTAAGTATACGTGTCATGTATGTATAGCGTCTATGTTGTCTCTCCCAAAGAATCCCAGGCTGTGGGTATAAAACCTTGAAACCAGACATTTTGTAGCCTACTGGCACTATTCTCAAATAGTTTTTGATGGATCTTAGACAGGTAATCTCACCCAACCCTCTTGTTGTATAGATCTGGAATCTGAGGCCTAGTGAGTTGAAATATCCTGCCCAAATCACAGTTTTTAAGTGGCAGAACAAGGAGTCCCATCTGTGCCCTCTGACTCCAGATCAAGCAGTTTGCCCCTAGGTAGTGCTCCCTGGTCTAGCATAGCACATTCTGTGTAATGGGTACATCATGAATGTTAACAGAGTTATATTTGTTTCAGAGAAGAGAAAAATCCCTCTTAGCCCAAATCATTCCTGGAAGGCTTCTTTGAAGAGGTGGAATTTTAGATGGATCTTGAATAGGAATTGACTTGTCAAAGAAGGGGAGAATATATTCTAGATACAAGGAGTAGAAGAAGCAAAGGGAAGCCTGATGTGTGTCTGCTGGGCAGGGGTAGGAATGTGCCTGGAAAGAATCTGGACAACTCAGTGGGGAGGTTGAATGTTGGTCTCCTTGTGGTCCAGTGGAAGCCCAGCTGAGGTATCATCATGTAGCCAGATAGGCAGCAGGGACCTTTTCTAGATTCTGGGTAAAGAAGAGACATGAGCAGATGAGGGCTTGAGCAAAATAGGTCTGGTTGCAGTTAGAATGGAGGGGAGGGGAAGAGAGGCCAGAGCCCAATTCCCCTTCCCCCACCTGCCCTGTCTCCCAGCTACCTTCTGTCTAAATGCTTTGTGTATGCATGTGTATATATGCATACAACAACAGTTTTATTTGTTAACTTTATATTTATGCTGACCGTGGTTTCATATGTACATGTGGTCTCCCTCATTAGAGTGTAAGCTCCTTGCAAGCAGGGGTTGTTTCCTTCTTTGTATTTGTATCTCCAGCCAGCACAGTGCCTGGCACATAGTAGGCACCTAATAAATACTTGTTGATTGACTAATCAGCCAAGTGATTGAAGCAGGAGATCACTTAGTGCAGTAAGCCAGCTGAGACTAGGCTGGTAGGGGTCATGAGTCTGAAAAGGAAAGGATGAGCCCAAGAGGGGAAGGAGTCAGCCCTTGGTTGAATGCACAGGATGAAGTTGATAGTGATCCATCCTTGTCCCAAGTCATCATTTCATGATCGCTTTCCAGAAGGAAGCCAGCAGAAGGCTCTCAGGAGCGCCCAACCAGGTGACCCAAGGTCCGTGATTACTTAGACACGGCATCAGATGAGAGGAGGCAGCCTGCCTACGCCACGGAGTTTTTCCTAACCCATGTTAGTTCTGTGTTGGTTGTTGGTGCCTGAGCCATAAGTGTGCTGTGTACCTCTGACATCTTCCTACTCATGTAGCAAGTGATAAGGAGAGACTAAGACAGCCCTTCTCCCCCGCTACCTCCCAAGAACCAGGGCAGCAGCTGGGGGGAGGGGTTGGGGGGGATTGCCAACCATATAAATTGGGAATAAGCTAATGTTTTCTTTTTATTTAGAAAAAATCTGACCTTAAAAAAAAAAAAGACCCACCTCTACGGTGTAATGAAAGACTTTTCCTGACTACAAATGTCTTCCTCTTTAATTTAGCACCGATTTCTGAAATCCCTTTGGGTTAAGGTATCCTCCCCCTGTTAAAATGTAAATACTCCTGGGAAGAGAAGCATAGTAGATTAGGATTAATTAATTCAAGTGTTTATTAAGTGCCTACCATGTGCTGTGATAGACCTCTCAGTTATTTGTACTTTAGCACAAAAGTTTATTAAATTATTTTCATATTGACTGCTTAACTAAGAGGAGATGGGGAAGAAGAAAACAAACGTACCGTGCACCTTGAGAAACAGGCGCTACGAGAGAGAGAGGTGCCCAAAGGGAAGGAAGCACCTGGCTTGCTTCGGGCAGGCCTGAGTGGGCCTGCGAGTCTAGCAGAGATCTGGTTAGCCACCAGCTGGGGGAGAACCGGAAGTAAAAGTCATTCGGTCCGGTCCGTTGCTCATCTCCACAGGCATCTGTTTCTACAGGTGCTTTCACTTTTCTTCCAGAGCAGGAGAGTTGTAGATCAAGTCCCGCTTGACTAATGAAAGCGCTAGTTTCTCCCCTTGTCCCCAACAAGCCTCGCAGGGGCCACTCAAGAGGCTGCCACCCCAGCGAGGGCTCCTCCATGGGACGTCTTGTCAGCATAGGGAGGAAAAAGAAGAGAGGGCGTGGGATGGCCGATGCCTGGGGTTTGAGGTTACAAGAGCAAAGAGGGGCTGGAAGGTGTCTTCCACCTGCCCCCCATTCCATCTGTTACTCCATTGGCCTGCTGAGATGGTGCAGCATCATTGCTGAGAACACTAGTTTAAGCCCCAGAGAGAACACTTGCTATGTGTTGATGGTCATTTTGAAATAGTACACACACACACACACACACACACACACACACACACACACACACACAGAGTCTTCTGAGTGCCTTTCCTTCAGTAGACAATATTGTTGGTTCCATTTTGGTTTTCCTGTCGGGCCAGCAGCCTAGTTCATTGAATTCCGTTTCTCCCTCCCTGCCATTCCCCTCCCCCCAATAATCTGCAGTAGTCTGCAGGAGTAGGAATTCCCCCATGTAGGTCAAACGGCGTTTGGTATGTGATCATAAATGTCTGCCCCTGCCTGCTCTGTCCAGGGATATTTTAGTGATGCCTGGAATACGTTTGACTCCCTCATCGTTATCGGCAGCATTGTAGACGTCGCTCTCAGCGAAGCGGATGTAAGTATGCACCCCTTGCCTCGGTGTTTGCCTGCCCTGTGCTTCTTCCCTCTTTGGTTTGCCTCCCTCCGTCTTCCTCCTCTCCCCTCCCTGCAGTTTTCATCATCTGGACAAGTCACAGGTAGCCGTCTGACTTAACCTAAGAGTGCACGAGGAGGCTGCCCCAAAAGCCCTGCCTTTGGGGAGGGCTCCGATCGGTCGCTCCTCACGAAACCTTTCTCTCTAGGCATCTTCTACACTTGTAGCTCATGCTCGAGCCTCCCAGTTTTTGAAGAATGACATCTTTGCAATCATTGTGCTTTCTAGCCTCTGATAGGAAAGGTGGGATAGCTGCTCCTTCCTGATTTCTGAAAAGGCCTCCCGTGGTGTGGCCACACTGGGTCTTGGGGTTTCTACTGCTCTTCCCAGGAGTGGTGGAAGCTCGCCGCCTCCATCCAGGGAGACCAGGTCACTCTCTTCTAACACTGTCCTTCTCTTCTCTTTTGTCCCCTGTGCTTTCTGTCTCCGGGGTCTTCCTGGCCGCTCGCTCTAACAGCACTATTTCACTGATGCATGGAACACTTTTGATGCCTTAATTGTTGTTGGTAGCGTTGTTGATATCGCTATTACGGAAGTGAATGTAAGTAGCAAACTTTGCACATTATCCAGTAAATACCGTCATGTTTGCACACACGTAAACATGGCCCCGGAACCCCTGCCTGTGTTCCGCATTGACTTGGAAGGCAAAAGTAATTTATCCCTCTTTAAAAACAAATCTCACCAAAAATGCACGAGACAAAGACCAATTTGGATTTTTTTTAAATGTATGGAGGACCTGGCAACATTTTCCTGAAGACTAGGTATGACCTTTTCATTTGAGAATTGCACTCTACCATTAATTAGCCACATGGCCTGAATAAGTAACCATGTGTCTCGGAACCTCAAATTTTCCATTTGCTAGAGGAGGACAATAATAATATTTGCCCCCACCTGCCTCATGAAGCTGCTGCACAGGTGATGTCGTTATCATCTTCTCGGAGTCCACTGTATGACATTTTGGTTTAAGCCACAGTCTTCTTGAGCCCGTTGGATTGGAAGTGCTCATCTGAGGCCTGCTGCTCCTCAGCATGGGAAGAGAGGAGGCTGCTCTTGAGAAGGAGGGTGCAGTCTGTTTTGGTTTTTTAAACCCCATGCAGTGGTGGTGGGGGTAGTGAAGGAGAGGTCGGTCTGCCTCGCCTAGGAACCTCCTGACACCAGGCTCCCAGGACAGAGGATGCTAAAAGGGGGGGAGGCTCTCAGTTCCCATTCTGCTTAGCCCTCGTAAATGGCTGCCCACACTGGAAGCCTGATGAGCCAGGATTGAAGGAGGTCGGGGACACTTCCATCAGGTGCCACTCGTGTAGCAAACATTGATCAAAAACTCATTGCGTGCTTGGCACACTTAATTTCTCAATGCCCTATCATTTCTAGTTATTTGGAGTGTTATCTCAAACATTATCTGGGTCTCTGTGCATGATTCAGATGTGGCTTGTGGGCAGGGGGGCTCTCCTTGACGCCCAGCGTGGGGCCTGCATCTTCATCATTCTGCCTGTCTGCTGCTCTTTGTGGGGAGAGCAAGGGGTTCTGCACATGCCTTGGAAGCTGGTCCATATGAACAGCAGAACCTTCTTGTGACCCTTGTGTCTGTGAGCAGGATGGTGCTGTAGCCGGGCATGGGGGAAAAGGAACCAGCTCAGGCTCAGGAGGCCTGTGTCCTCATCCACATCCTGCTGCTCAGGTGCTGGGCCACCTGCAGCAAGTCTCTTGCCACCCTTAAATTTTAGTTTCCTCATCTGTCAAATGGGATCATTGCTACCTAGCTTACAGGTCTGTGGTGATGATAAAATGTGACAAATGTATGAGAAAGCATTCTGAAGAGAGTCAAACTGCTGGAAAGAAAAGAGATAGTGTGGTTGTTACTGACTGCATTATAGTGAAGGAGAAATACTGTGTAATATCCCAGCATTCAAGGGGCAGGATCTTATCATGAGGCTTCTAAAGGGTTTGATTATATTTGAGTGATGGACATGTAAAAAAGGCTGGAGTCACCACGAAGGCTTGGCACCTAAGACCCCTCCTGGGCTAGGTGTAGGCCCTGGACGCACATCTCAATTTCTGATAGTTGCAGCATATCAAATCTCATTAGCTTCAGCTTGAGGGACTGTTTAAACCAGCCCAATCTTCACCCCAGGGTGTGAGTGAGGCTCTGGGAGATAGTGACCCTTCCTACAGGCCCTCAGTGTTGCCACTCATGCTCTGGTTTTCCTTCCCAGTCTGGAGTTGGCTTCTCACCTTAGTTTTCCAGCAGCAGGCCTTTGATGTTTGGTCGCTCTTTAGAAGAAAGGGATTTTCCACAAGTGCTTAAACAATTCATCAGGAATCTCTTCTCTCTCATTTGTCCCATTTATACTTTTGCATTATGTTCTTTTAGTCAGTGATGTTTCACCCTATCAAACCTAAGAGCAAAATCTTTGGAGGGAACTACATGTGTTGAGTCATATGGTTGGCAGGAGGCATTTAGCTGATCAGTGTGTTCACCTCTGCTGAATGAGGTCAGGGGAGCACAGTCTTGAGGACATCCCAGGCCATTTCAGTGAGACCCTGCTGAAAGACTGAATCCAAGGGAATGCCAGTATGGTGGTCTTCCCGTCTGAGCATGTGTGAATGAAGACTGCCTGAATGTTGCATCACCCCCAGAGTCATCCAGGCCTTGTGCCCTCGTGGGGCAAAGTGCAGGAGGGCTGCTCCCTGTGTTACAAGAGGAAAGAGAACAAGCATTTATTGTGTGCCTACTATGTGCTGGGCACTGTTTTACAGATGTCTCATTTGATTCGCACAACAACACCATGAGGCAGTTAACTATTATTATCCCTATTTTACACTTGAGGAAACTGAGGCAGTGACTTGTTCAGGGCCACCCTACAAGTGTCTGAGGCTGGATATAAATTCAGGTCTTTCTGACTCCCGGCCCAGCGCTCTGTTCTGTCCACAGTGCCACCAAGCAACCGTAAGAGGGGATGAAGATACACATTTCCTATGTCAGTGTGTGTATGTGTGCGTGTGCGTGTGCGTGTGATATGACGATGATGATGATGATGATGATGACAATGATGTTAACACAACAAAACCAGCCCTGTGGTTTAGTCAAAGGGACTACATTGCTGCATTGGACTGCATTAGCCCCACCCTGTCCGAACATGAGAGGATGTTGTCATCCATTCTGGTTGGAGTGGGGCTCACAGGTGACTGGTCATCCCTTTCAGGAGTTTCCTGGATCCTTCCTTTGTTCACAAAGGAGTTCAGTTCAGAGAATGCTCTAAGCCAGGGCTCCTTCACCTGATCTCTGGAGAGTTTTTACAAGAGTACAGAATGTAGATGGAAAAAAATACATCTTTGTTTCAATGTCATCCCCTGCGTTTCATTTAATGTACTGTTCTGCCAAAGGGGTCCTTGGGACAAGAAAGGGTAATGACTTTCGCTCTAATGTTCTGTCTCCTTGAGTTTTCCCAAAAGTGAATTGTTCACTTTCCCTCTGTAGCCTCTAGTGCAGATCAGAAGATCACAGAGTTAACTCAGAGGGGACCTGAGAGTCCTCAAGTCCAGCCCCCTCATTTACGGATATGGTTACTGAGGCCCAGAGAGAGCGAGAGTTGCTCAGGATCACTGCTAGTCGTTGTCCCAAGCAGGATCCACACTCAGTCACCGAGCTGTCAGGAGGACCCCAACGTAAAGTCCTAGGAGACAGCTGCGATGCTGACCAGCAGGAGTTCAAGGCCATCCTCCTACAGGTCCTATCCACTTGACCCTGGGCAAATCAGATAACCTCCCAGGGCCTTGGGCTACTTTTTCAGTCTGTCAGTCACAGGAATTTGCTGACAGGCATTATAGGCTGGGGTTTCCTTGCAATAGTAAATGACACCTGTTTATCAGTTTATCAACAGTTTGTTGGAATCGTTCCTAGTTCTTCACCCATTCTATAATTTCCCCAACTTCTGTTGACATTCCTTTTCTGTTGCCTAATTGATTTTCATATTCATTTTATTTTTAGAAAATTGTAGAGGCAAGTATGTGTAAGCCTATATCTGTTGACGTTATTGTCAAATTGGCCTCACTACTAAAGACGATGTACTCTTTGGCTTATTCACGCTTGGTTTTCACAGAGTTTCACAGGGCATACCAAAGATTAACTGTGGTCATCTAAATTGTTTTCCTTGGTTTCAGGTGCAGGCCCTGAGAGGGCGTCCCCTGGGCCAGTCACAGTTGGTTCTGTGATTGCCCAAAAGAACCTGTGAGGGTTAATAATTAGCTCTTGCTTTCCAAAAGACAGATTATTGTCTGGAAACGATCAACTTGCATTTGTATTTTTTTGCTTAAAACACTTTGGATGACCCTCTCTAAAGCTCCCATGCATGTTCACCTGGTTTTCTCCCCCCCCCCCCCCCAGTTTTCCACCTGGCTTCATTCACAGTTTAATTGTTTTTAAATTCACGTTTTCAACACATTTGCTTACAGTATTAAAAACCTTCTAAAATGTCGGAAAATTAATAGGGAGCTCAGTTGATTTAGGGAGCTCAGATGATTGAGGGAGCTTCATTGATATCTGCTTCTTTCTTTTTTAAAAGGTAAAAAGACAAAACCTAGAAACAAAATGTGGTGCTGGCATTTAAGCTTCGTCATCAAAGCGCTCACAGTGTCTGTCTCAGGGCCTAATTACTTGTTTGGCAAACACTACTTCTTATTTCCTATTGAGAGTTTCAGAAAGTTTATTCTCATATCGCCCAGATTACAAAGGCAGTCATAATCTCCAGTCTCTGACGATGTCATTTAGTTTACCTCCTGAAGAGTCTGACACTCCCCTATAGGTTGAGTCCCTTCAGGCCACTCAGAGGGATTTGCAGCAGGTGTCCAGCCATTGAGACTGCAGAAGTGCCTCATGATAGAGCTGAGCCGGTGACCCAGAAAGCAGAGGGAGACTACAGGATCCCGGTCGCTCGTGGTCTTGATAGCTTAGTCTGGCAGAAATGCTTTGGCTTTAACCCTGCTTGGGATTTAGCCTCTTATGGTCTTTGACTAAGGGCTCTCTCCTGACTTCTTTAGAAAGCTGTGTAAGTTTATCTCTGTAAGATAAAGATGGAAGCAGAAGAAAATTATCACTCCCTCCTAATTTAAGACCTCAAGGTGAAGGACCCCCCCCCCCCCACCACCAAGGGCAACTGGACACCTGCAGTGTAGCTGCAGGGAATCCTTGTGTTCATCCTGTTAGAGTTGGGCAGGGGGAGAGGACAAAGAGCAGCAGTGGCCTGGACCCTCTGACACTGCCCTGTGGCCTAAGAAGGCCCTCAGCCTGATGGTACCTTCTGTCCTCCCAGGATTTGCTGGCCTCATCCTGATGAATACAAGCTAAGTAAGAGGTGCCCTGCTGGTATGGACTGGCTCTGGTTGAAAGTCACATCCCTTGGGAGGTGATACCAAAATCCAACAGTTAACTGGTGCCTGATTATCACATTCCAGTCATATCTTCTTGTTTTAAAGCTGCCTCTGAGCCAGGATGAGAGAGACATGGAGCCGAACTGCTTTCTTTCTGGGCCTCCTGGCATGTTGATTTGAGTCCCAAATTCTCGCCCACCCAACTCACTTTTAACTGAATATTATGTCAGTGAAATGCCCCCCTCTCACCTGGAGTCCATCTGTGGCCCAGCCCTGACTGGCCACACCCTCTGAATGGCCCTTCCACGACCCTCTGAGATCTTCTGGGGGTAAATAGCTTCTCAATGAAAACCATGCCAGCCAACCCTGAAAATCACCTGCCTCTCTCCCTTCTCACTCAGCTGAGAACATCTGCATTTGAGAAAAAGCTTTTAAAGCTATTTTGGCATCTTGGATGTTTCTCTTCTTCCCATCCCTCTGATTTCTAAACTAAAGCATTCCCAGTTACATCAGCCATCGTGCAGCATTGTGGGGCAGTGGACAGCATCCTGCTTTGGGGCTACAAGGCTCGGATTTGAATCTCAGTGATTACAGCTCTCTGGGCCTCAGTTTTCCTCATCTGTAAAATGAGAGGATCTCAGAGGTATCTTCTATCATATGAATCCTATGAGAGCCTGTGAATGAGCATACTGGCCCTGCTAGAGGGGGATGGTAGGCTGTATCAGAAAGCTTTGGGTCTTCTCATGGATTTTGTGCTGGCTTTGCTCTCAAGGTTTCTTACTCCCTCCATGAATGTTGTGTGGCCACACCCATTATAGCCTTCTTTCATTTTAAATAACTCAATAGATAGCCTTGATCTTCAGTTCACAGCCCACTGGTTTCTCATCCTTCAAAGGGTTCATTTGAAAAGAAAGTTGTCCTTCCCAAGTCTTCTTGACTAACTCCCTCGACCTCATGTGAAAATCAGTCTTGCAGAGGGTCAGACTGAGGGCAGGCCAGGAAGTAGGCAAGGGAGGCTGCCTGGGCTGAATTACAGTCCGAGGAGGGAGGCTTAAGAAAATGGCTTCTCAAATATTTGTGAACAGACAAGAGGATTGGAGGGATTTAGGAAGTGACCATCTACACTTTCTTGGAGCATCAGACAGAGAGAGGTGAGGTGACCATACCCCTCTCACTCCCACTAGATTAGTGCATCCCTGACAAGAGCTGCCATGTGGGCATGACCAAGGACACCTCAGGCCTTGGGGGAGACAGTGACTCTTTGTTCCTATTCTCAGGATAAGTTTTAGGTTAGAAAGCTGCAGCCTTTAGAAAAGCTGGTCAGCGGAAGAGGGAAAGTGTAGGAAACACCCGGAGCTTCACTGAATGAGCTCATTTACAGAGGTCACTTTCTAAACCATTCACGAAAGAATGCCTCTGTTTTCATCTGATTCAGAACCCCTTGTTCTTGGGCTCTCCTGCAATGCATTTTAATTTACTTTTCCACAGTTACTGTTCTTTGATTCCCCTTCCTTTTTCTTTTCTGTCTTTTCTTTTGTAGGCATTTCCTACTGTGTTTTCTTTGGAGAGGAATTCCTTAAAGTAGGAGGTGCCCTTTAGTTTCCCCATTTCCTTCCAGTGATATCCTAAGGATCCTCCCCTTCCCCTCATCCTCTGCCACCTTTTGGGAGAGCTTTGAAATGCTACCCCTTAGACTCTCCCCTCCCCCAGCACCGAACAATGCAGCAAAAGGTCCTGTCACCCTCCCTGCCTCCTGAGAGACTCCTTTCCCTTCCTTTTCCCCTTCCCCTTTCTTCTCCCTTTTTCTTTTTTTCCCCTTGAAACTTTCCTTCTTGACTATTGCAGAGTCTACATTGGTGGTACTTATACTAGTGGAGGAAAAAAAGATCCTCATACCCTTATTCTTAAGAAGTTTAAACATCCAACTTAAAACTTTATATTATGTAATTTATATTAAGAGTTTGCTTGGCAGATTCATAGTTCATAGTGCAAAAAAAACAAACAAAAAGCTTCAGCCCAACCCCTACTTAAATAATCACAAATTCTGAATGAATGGGGCTCAATGAAGATGGAATGTGTCCTGAAAAGAGCAATGCCATGGAAGCTTCAAGTCCAATCCATAGGCCTCCTGCTTCCTGCCTGTGGTTCTTGTGCTATGAAATGATGATGAACTGGAATCTTCAATGGTGGCAAGCCCCTTGCCATTCTCACGAATGGTTTCAAAACTCCAAATTGGCGAATGAAATTGAGGTCCCATAAGGGCAAAACCAAGGCATGGGGATATACTGCCTGCCCGAGGGTCGCTGTAGAGGGTCAGGCTCCCGTCAGTGAAAAGCGAATGTGGGGCTGCAGAGGCAGATCACTGTGGTCCTCTGGGATCCTCATACTGTATTTCGTCAGAGTCCTGTTCCTCAGGCAGAAAGCTTCTACAGCATCCCTCACTGAGGATGACTCAAACCCTCATTTATTCCCTTTTCAAAATAAGAAGGGGTACATCATCTGAGAAAGACAAAAAATGGACTAGAAATTTTTGCCTTTATGGAAAAACCGGGGCCTAGAATCTCTCCTGGGATGTTTTGGCCTCAGAGGTGTGTGGTCCTTTGAGCTGACCTTTAGAGAGGGTCAGAGTAGGTGAAGAGTAGTAGCTCGCACACATGGCATGGAACTCTCCTGGCATCTCTCCTGGGAGGGGGCTGACTGGCATATTATGCCATGAAGTGGATGTATCAGATGTCCTCCTGATCTTTTGCTTATGACTCCTGATCATTAACGTTGTTCATCTTTATTTGATCTCTTAAAGCCAACTGACAGTGAAAATAGCTCTGTCCCTGTCCCAACGGCTGCTCCTGGGGTAAGACTAGTGGCTGACCCCCAGTGGCTTTACCTCTTCTTTAAGTTTATTCTTCTGGTCACGTCTGGTTTTCCACTGGTTTTTTCTGTCTTTTTCATGATCGTCCTCCTAGAATGGTCATTGTCAGTGTGCGGTCTCCCAAGCTCCTCAACACTAGGAAATGCATGTGGTGTGTGTGGCAGCCACATGGTGGCCCTGTGTTATCAGCATGGACGTTTTCCTTTCATACCATGGTTTTTCAAGATGACAAGGCCTTAGAAACACATCTTCACTTCTTACCTTTGCCACTTTCACATCTGTTGCTGTTTTGTTTTGTTTTGTTTTGTTTTTTTCTGAGAGTGTTACATATTCTCCTTCTCACTATGTTTGACCACTCCATGATCACCCTGCAGAACTCGGAAGAGAGCAACAGAATCTCCATCACATTTTTCCGTCTTTTCCGAGTGATGAGACTGGTGAAGCTTCTCAGCAGAGGGGAAGGAATCCGGACCCTGCTGTGGACTTTTATTAAATCCTTTCAGGTGAGGGGAGGCTCAGTTTGATTTGGAATCTTCCTATTGTGGGGGCCAGATAGTCACACATACCTTTGAGCTTCTTAGTGAAGTTGTCATAGGGAAACCTAGCCCAGAGAGTGTCCGATTGAACATTTTTCCATCTTTTTTTTGCCCAAGATTCAGTATGAGGGGTTCAGTGAATGTTTGTTGATTAGAAAATTTTATATGATTTTTAATGAGTGAATACTCATAGGATAGTTTGTGGACATACGTAGAAGTTAACCATGGGAAAGAAACTAGATGCTTTTGGCTGATCTGCCGATACCTTGGGCTTTCCTACAGAGGACTAAAATTAGAAACACTTTTGTTGTTTAATTGCATTACGAGTGAGATGAGTGTTCTCGTGTCCGTGTGCTGCCTTGAGATTCCACATGATGGAAGCCACACACAGGTGTGAGATGATAGGTTGGCAGGATCCTGGCTAGAGCACAAGTAGTCCTGCCTGTCACAGGGAGCCTGGAGTTCAGTGTGATGTAGAACCTGGTCCATTGTTCGCTAGAAGTGGTGGAGGGGCAGTGTTCTCCCATGTTTCACCTGTAATGTGGTGCCTTGGCACAGAGCCTTCAGAATGGTTCTCCAAGCTCCCGGGTAGAAACTTTATATTCAAATTTGAAGAACTGGACGTGTTGAGAGTTCTCTTGCCCACCTGCTGGCCTCTGTGAAACAGCATAATCCAAAGCGTTAGTTTTAGAAGAAAACCTTTCAAATGTTTTTGTCTTAAAAGTGTCTGGTTGTCATATTTGGTAGCACTTGTGTTGAGCCAAAACTTGGCATTGCAGTGGTGGATCTGGAATCCAGGCAGTGTCTGTTTTCCCTCCTGACTGCCCTGAGGCACATTCTCACTGCTGCTTAAACAGGGGCAGTGAGCAGGAATTGCAGAGGGGTAAATGTAGGCTCATTGGAAAGGAAAACACTTGAGTTATCCAAAAGCGGATTGGGAGGGCGTGGGTTCTCCAGAACAACACTGAATGGGATATCTGTTCAAGTGTGCCTTGGAAGTTGGTGATTTAGCACCCAACCAGAGACTAACGGAGGTTCTTGTCTTACTTTAGGCTCTCCCATATGTTGCCCTTCTCATAGCTATGTTGTTCTTCATCTATGCTGTCATCGGGATGCAGGTAAGTCACTCCAGACCCTTTTTCCTCGAAGTCTGTCCATGTGAGGAGGGCATGGAAATGCATGTACCTCCTATTGGCCCCTGCTGATAAGATCCACTCCCTTCTTCCATTCTCTGTTAGAGCAGGCCTAGCAGGAGGTCAAAGGGCACCTGGCAAGGCTGATCTTACAGTGTTGTTGGTAAAGCCCTGGACTGCAAATCAGGAGGATCTGGGTCAAAATCCTGCTCCTGACGCTTGCTGAATGGCACGTTCTCTAAGGCTCAGTTTCTTCAACTGTAGAATGGGGCTGCTGCTGCTCCTGCCTGCTATGGCTGCCTCCTGGGGCTGGGGGGGGAGGGTCCATGATGGACAGTATGAGTGTCTTTTTGTCTAATTGTGTTTTATCACAACCATTGGACAATTTGGAGCAAACAAATAGTAATTATTGTGTCTGCATCTTAGGTAAATCCTTTCATCCCTGAAGCTCCCTCAGTGATCATCTTTTTAAAGATACTTTTTAAAAGATAAACAAGGCTGCTCTCTGAGACTTGACTTTGACATGTACGACCATAGGGAGATTTATAGCTTGATCTCTGTGAGGTCGTGCTTGAGGGGAGCAGAGCGGCCTTGCTAGCTAGAAAAACAAGATGGTGTCAAGGGACTACCAGAACTGGAGACCCCCTTATGAATGTGAGACCACCTGAATGGTGGTCTGTGCTTTTTGAAGGAGCCAGGAAACAAGAAGTTGTGAGCGTGACTCAGTCAGAGTGAAGATCCTTTTGCCAGACTTGTTTCACCATGGCCTTTTTTTAAAAAAAAAAAATTATTTTCACTTCCAAATTCCCTTCTTCTCCCCATTCTCTCCCTCACCCATTGATAAAGCAAGAAATATGGTTCTCATTATATATACATGAAGTCATGCAAAACGTATTTTTTACTTTAGCCTTATTGTGAGGGGGAAAAAGTAAGAAAAATAAAGTTTAACAAGTCTGCTTCAATCTGCACTCAGAGTTCATCAGTTCTCTCTCTGCAATGGACAGTATTTTTCATCATGGGTCCTTTGGAATTGTCTTGGGCTGTCTTGATCAGAGTAGCTAAGTCATTCATAGTTGATTATCATTATAATATTGTTGTTACTGTATGCAGTGTTCTCCTGGTTCTTCTTGCTTCACTCTGCATCCATTCATATAAGTCTTCCCAGACTTTTCTGAAATCATTGTCATTTCTTATAGCACAATAGTATTCCATTACATTCACGTACCACTTGTTAGCCCTTCTCCAATTAATGGGCATCCCTTCAGTTTTCAAATCTTTGCCACCACACAAAGAGCTGCTATTTTGGACACATAAGTCCTTTCCCCTTTTCTTTGACCTTTTTGGGATGCAGACCAGCAGTAATATTGCTGGCTTGAAGAGCAGGCACATTTTTATAACCCTTTGGGTACAGTTCCAAATTGTTCTCCATAATGTTTAGACCAGTTCATAGCTCCACTAACAGTGCCACAGTTTTCCCGCATTCTCTCCAGCATTTGTCATTTTCCTTTTCTGTCATGTTAGCCAATCTGATAGGTGTAAGGTGGAATCTCAGAGTTATTTTGACTTGCATTTCTCTAATTTGTAGTGATTTAGAGCATTTTTTCATGTGACTATTTAATAGCTTTGATTTCTTCTTCTGAAAACTCACTGTTCATATCTTTTGACCATTTATCAGTTGGGGAATTCCGCACCCATAGGTCTCCACCTCTGCAATGAAACAGCTTTTTTTTTTTTCTTCTAATTCTTCTCTGAGCCTTAGTTTGGTCATTATATTTAGTATTCCATTTCTTTTTTTTTTTTTTTTGTTCTTTCCATTTATATATATTTAGTCTTGTGCATACTGTTTTCCTGGCTTACTTCACTTTGAATCAGTCCTTAGGCCTTTCTTTGTTTCTTTGAACTCTTCACTTTCATTATGTCTTACTATGAAATATGTTTAGTCCTTCCCCACCTTCCAACAAAGGGGCTGCAATTGATATCTTGGGCTGTTTGGGCCCTTTCTTTCTGCCTTCGACCTAGGGGGTCTGTGTCTTGTGATGGGCCCTCTTTGTCAGAGAATGAGCGCGAGGTATGAAGGGAGGGACAGGTGCCTGATGGCACTGAGACATACATGAAGCCTGCTCACCCCCCCAGCAGGCTTTCCTTCCATTGGGGATGTATCGGACTAGAGAAGCTCCTGTTTTTAAAGAGCATTCAGCATCTTTCTTAATTGTTTTTATTTCCAGATGTTTGGGAAAGTGGCCATGAAAGATAACAACCAGATCAATAGGAACAACAACTTCCAGACATTTCCACAAGCCGTGCTGCTCTTGTTCAGGTGATTGACGCTCCGGGCGATCCTGCAGCTCTCCGGGCTCCACCTCGAGGGGCCTGGCTTCCCTCTGATGGCCAGGGTGTCTGTAGTGGAAGCTGTTTCCCGTGATTCAAGTGACAGTTCCTTTCCTGTCGTCCCCTTTGGCATTTGTGTCTGGGATTGCATTTCAGGCTGTTCCTTGGTCTGTAGAAACTGAGGTCACGATGACAGAACGTGCAGCCTTAGGAGGCTGATGTTGTAGAAAGAGGCAGGAGGAACTTCCCTCTAGCCTCCACCAGCTGGGCGTTGGGGGTGGGTGGAGAGAGGCTCATGGCCTCTTGGAGCACCAATCTCCTCCTTTGTAAAATGGGTAATAATCATTCTCTCCAACTCCGGGTCATTGTGAGGAGCTCGTGATAGAGCACGTCCTAGAACACAGACACCTGAGGGCCCTCAAAGAGCTTGATGACGTCCAGTGTTAGGCTGAGTCAGCAGTGGACCGGACTGAAGCTTGTCTTTGTGGCCCTTAGCGGCAGTGAGGTTTGTTAAGCCATTGGAGAGGACCAATGAGGTGGGAGAAGGAATGTTGGTACAATTTTGGAGAATAAACAATTTCCAGGTGCTCAAGAAGCACCGCTTATATACAAAAGACAAATGTGCTAAATCCAACTTGTCAGTTATCTCTTAATTACCATAGATATCAGAAACGACATCTACTCAGTAAAACTTGGAAATAATCAATTTTTAAAATTCAAATTGATGTCCCCTAAAATCCTTGGGGTCGGATGATATAAATATGCATATACACATATGCATATGTACGTTCATGTGTGTGTATTTCTGTAACCTTTCTTCTCTCTCCTCTTCCCTTTCCCTGTCCCTTTTCCCCTCAAAAGGTGTGCAACTGGTGAGGCCTGGCAAGAAATCATGCTGGCATGTCTTCCTGGGAAGCGCTGTGACCCAGATTCGGATTATAGCCCTGGAGAGGAGTTCACGTGTGGCAGCAATTTTGCCATCGTTTATTTCATCAGTTTTTATATGCTCTGTGCTTTTCTGGTAAGTCATAAAGACCATGTCTTCGCTTAGTACACAGGTTTGTGGGCCAGAGGAAGTTGGAGCCCTTGGGCTTCAAGCTTATTAGCAAGGCAGCCTTGGTTCCATCTGCTCTGGGCTCTGCCCCTCGCTGCCCAGGCTGCCAACAGGTAAGAGCACCTGGGGAGCTTTTGGGTGTGACAGGCTCCTTCCAGTCCTGCTCTGGGGCCTGACTTTTGCTATGAGAGGAGGCTTCTCCGTCATTCTTGAGACCCGCGAGAATGTGAATAACAAGGGAGCTCCTCTCGCTCCCATGTAGGATTGTACCACTACTGTCCTGGAAAGGTATCACAGAATCTCAGGGGGAATGAGACCCTCTGAAGTCCTCAGGTAGCCTGGGCCTGGTGGGACATGATGAGACTTGGATAGGCTGTGCTGTGCAGAAAGGCTTCGGCTAAACCTGTTTCTTCTAAGTGAGCCTCCTGTACCATGAGCTCAGATTCCTTAGGCTCCCCCCCCCCCACCAACTCCTTTCAAGGTGGTTGGATAACCTTTTCTTTGTGCCTTTTACCCCTGAGATGATGGTAGGCCCTTCATCAGTGCCAACTGGAGGGGTCCAGTTGACTTGCATAACTTCCCTTAGTTAAACAGATGTTTCCTTGAGACCCTCCCCAGCCTCCTCATGCTACCTCAACCGAAGCCTCTCCCCTAAGATTCAGACAGCTTTATTTTTCCCCCACACCTAGATCATCAATCTGTTTGTGGCTGTCATCATGGACAACTTTGATTACCTGACCCGCGACTGGTCTATTTTGGGTCCACATCATTTGGATGAATTCAAAAGAATATGGTCAGAATACGACCCGGAGGCGAAGTAAGTGTGCAAGGCTTTTCTGCCTAGCAGGTTTGGGTTATGCGGTCTTTTATTCACGTTCTTGGTAGTGGATGGAATTGGATGACCTCCCCTGCACTCCCTGCCAACCAGGGCTGTCTCGGAATTGTCGTCACACTGTCACCCTCACGCTTCGTGTTTGTTTCAGAGGGAGAATTAAGCACCTGGATGTGGTGACTCTGCTTCGAAGGATCCAGCCTCCGCTGGGGTTTGGCAAGTTGTGCCCACACAGAGTAGCCTGCAAGGTAGGTCCTCCCTCCCGGTGCTTCGGTAATGATTTCTTCTGACTGGGCCCGGGGGCCGCTACCTGGGCGGGATTGAAACCCCTTGCCATGTCTCCTTCTGGAAGGGCTGGATCACCCTGGCTCTGTGTGGCCAGGGAGAGTGTGGAGATGGTAGGGGGATGGGCTCAACAGAGGAAATGAAGCTTGCCCTGGGGAGAGTTTTCACAAAAGGCGATGGATGACTCTCTCAAGAGCCGGGCAATTCACAGTCTGGATGATCTCTTGTTCAGCACACTTCTGCGGGGCCTCTGAGGCCCCTTATCCCTCCGGGCTTCTGCGAGAGAAATGAGTACAGCTCGGACTATTGCTGGAACCAGGCCCCAGGTTATCCTCCTGCCTCTGGGGCCAGGCTGTCTCTGGAGCTCCAGTCCTGCCTTACCCTTGACCTGGTCCTAGGGAAAGAAATGGAGGTTTTGCCAGCTGGAGGTGGCAAAGGGATTATTGGGCTAAATTTGTATGGGCCCAAGGCCTTCCCTGCAGGACATTGTGTTTAAAGTAAAATCCCAAATAGCAGCTGATTTTATCATTGCATTTGCCTCATTCTCAGAAAAATCTGCGTACAGAAAAACACTCTAGTTGAGATGGCTACTGGTTACTGTGGTTCTGTCCTTGTCTGCTGTCAGAAAGAAGCTGGGCAATTTCCCTTAGGAAGTCTTCAAAGGAAAAGTGCCTAGCCATGTGTGCTGGCTACCCCTAACAGCTACAGGGGGGCAGACACCTAACTTAAACAGGGCTCAGGGATTTGGGAAGAGGAATCCAGAGGAGGAGGAGCCATGTCTTTCTGTGGGGACCTTCCATCAGCTTCAACACAGCTGAGCAGCTCATCTGCCCACTTCACTGAACTAGACCCTGTGGAGATCAGGAGGCCAGTGACAAATGATAACAACAACAACGAAGACTGGCATTTATGTCACACTTCAGGGTTGGCAAAGTGTTTCTCATGTTTTCTCATTCGGTTCTCACCACAACCCTTTGAGGCAAGTGGTATTAATAGTCCCATTTACTAATGAGGAAACTGAGGCAGACAGAGGTTAAGTGGCTTGCCCCGGGTCACACGGCTAGGAAGTACCTGAGGCAGGATTTTAACTTGGGGCTCCCCAAGGGCAGCTCAGCATTCTATCTGCTGTCCCAGCCAGGAGACTAGAGTCTGGTAGGAGAAAATAAAGGGGATTGGAAGTGTAGCTTTGATTTCATTAGTGTAGGGGACACCTGGGTAAGAAAGCGCCCTGTACTGAAGGTGGCAACTTCACATTAGAGTTGCCTAGAGCCCAGGATTCATTTTGGGGCAGGCCAGTGGAGGAATTTGGTTTGCTTGATCAAGCCCATATTTGTCACATGGACTTTGTTTTTCCAATGAGAGGGAGGGAATAGGAATAGGGAAGCAAAGAGGAAGAAAGGAGTCCTTAATATCTTTTTTACAAAATACAGAAGGAATCGTGTGTGTGCCCTTACGACAGGTGTGAAAGCTCCATTCCGTCCTAACAGAGGTCTGTGGGTCTGGGCTCAATCCTCTGTTGTTCTCCTGCACACATGGAAATGACCACAGTCACCGGATCTTTCATCTCCATCGTAACTTTCTTAGACACAAAGGCAGTCCAGGTCACAATTCAAACTCAAGCCTTCCTGGGCTAGTTCTCTAACCACTAGACAGGGTTGCCTCTAGGCAAGAGCAAAGAAACGTGGAAAACATGTAGAAATGTGTCACAACGTGAAAATCTGAATGAAATCCAGGTCTAAACTGAGTGTGTGCACAGTGAAGGGAGCAGTAGAACACAGTGCAAAGGGCTTTGGTGTTGGCTGGAGCCGGAGGACTTGGGTTCAAATTCTGCTTCTACTGACCTTGGGCTTCTTGTGCCCTTTCTCTGGAGTTCTGTTTTCTCATCTATCAAATGAGAAAGTTGACCATGGGCATTTATAGCCTCTCCCAAGATACCCTAAGTCTGTGATCCTTGGACACAGAGAGGAAGTGATCAAAATTTGTTGAACTTAGGAAAGACTTTTGAGCAGACATAGGCTTGGAGACCACTCAACTACTTCCTGAATAACCAGTAGGAATGTAAGACAACAGAAGTCACGAATGGAAACGCTGCTGCATCCCAACTCCCATCAGGCAGACGCAGGCCAAGAGCTGTCCTCCTAATTTTGTAAGGGGATGGGCCTTTTAAAGGTGATAAAAGTTAAAAAAAATGGGGCACCAGATGGCAGCGTAGAATGGCAGGCGGGATGGTCGCACGCACTGCTCCGACCCGAAGCCTGAAAGGGCTCACACAGAGGAGGCTGGGACTCTGGCCTGGGCCAAATCTGGGGTGATGGCGAGATGTGTTTATTGCTTCTCTGAAGGTGCTTGTCCTTTTATTTACAGAGATTAGTTGCCATGAACATGCCTCTCAACAGCGATGGAACAGTCATGTTTAATGCCACGCTATTTGCCTTGGTTCGAACTGCTCTGAAAATCAAGACTGAAGGTAAAATCTTGCCAGGTCCATAAAAGTAGAGTGAAATGAGAAGTGATGGCCAGGATTTGGCCACTTCCCCTAGAGGCCTTTCAACAATGTTTCCTATACAAATGACCCAAACTAGAAGAAGAGAAAGGAGAGGGAGGAGGCTGCGTTTAGCTTTTAGCAACCTCTCCTTCCTCCTCCTCCTCCTCCTCTTCTTTTTCCTTTTCCTCTTCCT